GAAGGCCGGGGAGGGTTGGGGGGCAGGAGGGAGGGGGGTAAGAGATCAACCGAAGGACTTGTATGCATGCATATGAGCATAACCAATGGACATAAGACACTGGGGGGTAGGGGAAGCCGGGGTATTGTCAAGGGCAGGGAAAAAAAAAGGACACATATGTAATACCCTTTGTAATGCTTTAATAATATTTTTTTAAAAAGAATAAAAAAAAAGAATAAAAAAAATACTTTCTAAAAAAAAAAAAAAAACCTTCAGTGGCTCTCGATTACCACAGCGTAGGGTCTATGACATGGCTCAAAACATTCCTTGTGATCTGGACCTAACTTGTCTTTGTAGGTTCTGTCATGTCCCTCAACCAGATGCCCTCAACCCCAGCTGCCACCAGACTCCAGACTCCAGCCACACTTGTATCCAGATACCCTAGACCCCAGTCATCCTTGACCCCACATGACCTTGACCCAGACACACCAGCTCACACACAGTTCTCTGAAAAGGAGGACATATCACTCCTGGGACCTTAGTGCCTACAATTCCCTGAGTCTGGAGCCCCTTTCTCCCTTCCAGGCCAGATAAGAAGGCAAATACATGGAACCGTCATGGAGAGACGAGACAGGGCAGAGAGAGGGTCCCTGAGGGCCCCCTGTCTGGGCATTACCTGCTCCCTGGAATAGCCGAGTGCTGGGGTCCCCCGCTGTCCGCACTGCCTCTGGCCCCAGCCTGTTTCTGCTGTTGCCACCCCGACCACTGCCTCCACAGGTCCGCTTCCTGGCCGGCACAACAAACTCACTTTTGTTTCCAGTTAAGCACCAGGGGAGGCATGGGGTGAGGAAAGGCAGGCGAGGGAGGTGGGGGGAGAGAGAGAAGGAAAAGTATGAGTGACTGGGAGGCTGGAGAGAGAGGACTAGTGGTGAGAGAGAAGAGAGATATAGTAAGTGTGAAAGAGATTGTGTATGTAAGAGAGAAAAACTATATTGAAAGGGAAATAAAGATACTGTGAGTATGAGAGAAGTGTTGAGAGAGAGAGAGAGAGAGAGAGAGAGAGAGAGAGAGAGAGAGAGAGAGGGAGGGAGACTCTTAGGTGCCCTGGAAGAGAAGGGCTCTGTGGCTGCAGCAGAACCTCAAGAAGGCAGCCAGGGGCTCTGAGGGGACTGACAGAGCTGCCCCTCCTCCTCCCCCATGAGCCCTCCCCACAGAGCCCGGGAGCTCCAGGAGAGCCGGGCACCTCTCCTCAGGCCCCTTTATAAGGCAGAGGTAGGATTTGCCTTGAGACTCCCCGGGGCCTCCTTAAGAGCCTTGGCCGGCAGGTGAGCTGGCTGGAGTGGCCTGGCAGGCAGGGCTCAGCCACACAGCCTGATGTGGAGGTGGGGTTGTTGGGAGAGGGTTGCTGGGGGATAGAGGGGGCCTCACATTTCACAGCAACCACGCCTGGTGCTAGTGTCTCTCCTCCTAACTTTAAATGCTTCTCTTCCTCTTCAGCTACTTCTAAGACAAGTCCCAAATGTCATCACTCACTGGGTGTTTTCTGAGAGTCCCCGGACGGTGGGAACCGGTCACTTCAGGGTGTGCGGCAAACCCCACCGGGGAATTACTGCTCTGCCCAGAAACTCCTAATCTCCTGGGTTCAGTCCAACAAGTGCTTACTGGGCTCTTAGAATGTGCCAAGGTTGATTAGAGGTCACTGCGCGGCTGCTGCTCCAAGGCGCTCTGAACCCTGAATTCACGAAGGCTTAGAGCTGGAGGGGAGCTTAGCAGTCGCCCAGCCCAAAGCCTTCATTTCACGGGTGAAAAAACCAAGACCCACTTTACAGCACAGAAGGTCCGACAGGCCCGGCGAGGGGAGCCTGGAGGAGAGCCCAGCCTGCTGACCGCCTCCCCCTCACCGCCCTGCTGGCTGCCTCACTTACCACATTTTCAGACCTGAGACCCGAGGGTCAAATATGGTCACTTTAAAGCTGAGAAAACATCAGCAGAGGGTCAGGGGCATGTGTTTAGCTGCAGAATCTAAGCCAACCCCACCATCAAGGAGCTCCTGCCTTGGCAGGCTCCATCCAGGCAGGACAATGAGGGGCTGGGTGCCTCCGAGCTCCCAGGCACCACAGCTCACACTGCACTGTGGGTGCTGTCGGCCCAGCACCTCCTGTGCACCACAGGGCAGCCACTGCACACCGCACCTCAGGCACTGAGGGTGACCTGGACCCTCCGAGAAATACCAGAGACCACCAAGGATGCCAGAGGATTCTCTCTACTCGTGTGGTACTGCCTCAGCCCAGATCCGGCTTCCACTCCTGACTGCTAATTATGAGCAGTAGGATCTGGGCAAGGCAGTAAGCTCTCTGAGCCTTCGTTTCCCCATCTAAAAAGCAGGAATTTTCACACTTCCCTCACTGGATTGTGCTGGACAATGAGAAACTATATGTGGTGTGGTTGGCACAGTGCTTGGCACACACCAGTCACTCAAGAAATGATTTCACGATTTTTGTTGTTGCCAACAAGTGACACCTTCCTCCCTTATGACCATCACCAGTCTGGCCTTTCTAACACTCCAAGGGCTCAATCTTCTTAACTTCTAGGTGGCCACGCTACTCCCACGCTGCTCCCCTACCCTGCACCCTGCACCCCTCTCCTCTTTCTGCTCCTCCCTCCCACCCAGGGAAGGTGCTGGGCTGCTGGACCAGGTGGCTGTAATGTACAGCGTTATGTAGCATTTAGAGACTCACACACCTTAGCGTGCCCAACAGTCCCGGTTTGCTTGGGACTGACCTGGCGTTAGCACTGCAGGTCCCACGTCCCTTGTCTTGGGAAACCCCTGGATCCCAAGCAAACTGAGGCAGTTGGTCATCCCACAAACATCTTTCTGTCTACGATGAGGATACCAAGACCCAGAGACTAACACAGCCAGGTCGGGCTTGGCTGGTTGTGT